TAATAATGATATTCATTTATTTATTTAAAAATATTTATTTAATATTTTTACTATTAATTTTACATTTATTTATATTTTATTTACATTTTTGATTAATTCTATTTGCAAAGTTGTATTTTAAAGTAGTATAAATATATTTCTTCATATTTAATTTGTTAACAAACTAAAATATAAAATATACAAAATATAAATAATAAACGTTTTATTTATATTTTTATTTTTTGTATCTTTCTATTTTTTGTTTATTTGACATTTTAGAATATATATTTATTTTACAGTCTTCATATATAATATTTTTATTTGAATATTATTTATATATTGTACTTTTTATTTTCTGTCTTTCACGTTTTATAATAAATATTTATTTTACAGTCTTGTGTTTTATATTTATAAAATATATTTATATTTATACATAATATTTTTAATTTATATATTATTATTTTTTATATTGTATTTTTTTATTTCATGTCTTGCACATTTTAGAATATTTATTTTATAAGATAATATATAATTATTATATGTAAATCATATATAAACTTTACTATATAAATATTAAACTTTAAATATAAAGTGTATTTCTGGTTCTCTAACTTTCTGTTTGGAACACCATCTGAACAACAGCTGAGAGCTTTACCATGAAAGCTGGCACAAAGATTTATTGACTTCTGTCAGCTGAAATCATGCTGTCTGTAAAGAAGGGAGGGAGGGGGGGACTTCTTACGAGCAATGAAATATTTCCAAGAGAACCACCCTGGAAAGATGCAGCTTCTGATGGCATGGCTGCCATGGCAACAGTGTCTGTGGAGATTATTATGGGATGAGTCATGGCAGAGTGACATGGCAGCTTGTTTGAATGGTTTGAATGAATGCTTGTTTCGCAGGCTGCGTGTGTTCTTGTTTTCTCTCCAAGAATCAGCCCCATGCATTATGGAACGGGGGGATTAAAAATGAAGCAGGGTTTATCCACAAGGAACAAAGATGATCCACATTGTCAGAGTGTTTGGAGTTGTGAATAATGTGCACAGGGCTTTAGCGAGTTTTCGTTTGTCTTTATAGGGTCAGGTAACCTATTTTTTTCACTGAATTTAATGAATTTTATTTTAACAAGACATTTATAATTATTCTATGTTATGAAACATAGTTTCATGGTTACAATTATAACATTAATACACAGGTACTATAATTAACATCAGTAAGTATAACAGTAGTATGATTAACATTTATCATCTGTCATTTACAATCATTGTACAATTTCTTTTTAGGATTGTACAAAAGTTGAATTGTACAGTGTACAATGGTTTAATAGTATAATTAACATTTATCAACAACAATACATTTAATTTACAATCAATGTACATTTTTATTTGTAGAATTTTACAATTTATTATTATTATGATGATGATGATGATGATTATTATTATTATGATTATTATTATGATTATTATCATTATTATACAGTGGCTGTATAATAATATAATAATGAAGTATATGAGTAAATGCAAGGAATATTTATTGTTTAATTGTAAGTGATATTTGTCAAATGTTGTTTTTTTTTAACAGCTTTACTGTTATGTCAACATACAGTGTTGATAAAATCATGTGTCCTTGACTGGTGTAATGGCTTTGTGCATGTGGATTTTTTTCTTGTGCTTTTATATATTTTATTATTTATTTTGATTGAAACAAATTCTCTTTATTTGACTTTTTTATTTCTTTAGAAATAATTATTCAAATATTCATTTATATTTCTTTAAATGTAACATGTAATATTTTATTTATTTGACATTTTTTTATCTCAATTACAATTCTTAAAATTAAAATGATTATTTTTTTTAATTAAAAGTTTTTCGACATTTATTATTACCCTTTTAAAAATGTTGTTTTTGGTTAATAACAGTATTAATTTAGACCGCTAACAATTACACAAAAAGGTTTATGTAATGTGTATGTAATAAATATATTACCTTTATTAATAATGATATTAATAATAATATAAGAGTAATAATAATAATAATAATAATCATAGCTGTTGTTCTTGTTGTTTTTCTGTTGTTGATAATATTATTGTAGAATAATAATAATATGATGATGATATTTTAAGTATTTACATTAGTATTAGTGTTTTAATATTTTATTATTTTAATTATCAATTAACTATTAATTTTAAGCTTTAATAACACAAATACAATACAAATAAGCATAATAAATATATTACTTTAATAATAATAATCATAATTGTTATTAATATTATTATTATTATTATTATTATTATTATTATTATACAGTAGTTGTATAATAATATAATAATAATGAAGTATATGAGTAAATAGCAGTAATATTTACTGTTTAATTGTAAATTATAATTATGTAAAATGTTGTTTTTTGTTAATAACATCATATAATTTAAACAAACACTAACAATTACACAAAGTTTATGTAATGTTTATATCATAATTGTATTACCTTTATTAATAATGATGATAATAATAATAATAATAATAATAATATCTAAGAATTAATTTATCTAATCTAATATTAATAATAGTTGTTGTTCTTATTGTTGTGGTTTCTGTTATTATTATTATTATTATTATTATTATTGTAGAAAAACAATAATATGATGATGATAATGATATTCTAAGTATTTACATTGGTATTAGTATTTTATTATTTTTAATGATTGTTCATTTTAAATTATTATTTTTTGCCTGTCTCTATATTGTACATTTTAGGTTATAGATTTTGGAAAAGTATTTTTGTTTGGTGTCAGATTTTCACGCCATTTTATTTTACATTTATTCGCTTAAAAAGCAGATTGAGCTGAACGGCTGAGACTGCTCGTGAATTAATCTGCATAAAGGGAAAGTTCATGCTTAAATAAAAAAGGAGTGTTCAAAAGTTATTTCGGACTAGTTAAAATCTCCCTGGTATCAGATATCACACGGGAAGAATGCTCTTGATTAGAGAGGATCTCACGTCAGGCAAAGCTCTGCATTCCTCAAATTCATTTTCAAGGTTTTTCCAGGATTCCTCAGTGTCAGCTCTCCCACATTAGCAGCAGATTATCCAGTGACAGAAAGAGCTCTCTGTTCTGACCTTAAGGTCAAACATGCTTCCTAAACAAATATTTGATCTCTGCTAAACTGCAGCAACAATAATAACACTGAGGAGGATGGAAAGAAATCTATATCATGTTGATTAAATTTTAAAAATTCTGCAATAAATTATTATAAATATAATCTGACTATAAATATAATTCTGAGTATAATCAGCGATGACTTTAGAATAAGCGATGACTCTTTATAGATGGTTTTAAATACACCATAATTTTTTCTGTTACTCGTTAATAGCAGCTATATTGGCGATACTCTAATGTAAACACAACACGGATTGCATGGCTATTGTACTGTTTAGTAAACAGGAAAGGGTGTAATATTGTGAAAAACGGAATACATTAGGTTTTACACCATAAACATGAGCATTATCAATTAAGATTAGCCCAATATTTTACCTACTCAACCACAAATGTCAAGATTTTTGCCCTGGAAAACCTAGTTCAGTTTGGCCAACCACACACACGCACGCACACCATTTGTTCCTCAAACCGTTTTTTTTTTTTTTCTTCTGCTTGATTTGCTTGAACTTTTGTAGTACTTTTTCTGGTCTAACTGGTTGGTACAGGACAATGCATGACAGTAATCGGTCATTTTCAGCAGCAATAAACATCATAATATGCATGCTTCTGGTCCTTTCTATGGTATTGTTTATGTTCAGCTATCCAATATGGTCAATTTATGACGTGTTTTAAAAAAGCTCTATATTTCATAGCCAATAACAGATATATTACTCTATATAGCTATAAATACAAATCTTGATATCAGGTGAATAACATACAGCACTGTAAAAAATGCTAGGTTACACACAATCAATTTGTGTAGAGACAACATAAAAGAATGAAGCTAACTTGTTCATTTTTACAGATTTAAGGGGATTGAACATAAAACAATTAAGTTCGTTCATTTATTGGCTTAGTCCGTTATTGATCAGGGGTCGCCACAGTGGAATAAACCACCATCTAATCCGGCATCTATTTTACACAGCGAATGGCATTCTAGACGCAAACCAGTGCTGGAAAACCCCCTTATACTCTCACATTTACACATGCACTCATACACTGGCCAATTTTGTTTACTCGGTTTGTTTATGGAGCATGTCTTTTGAGCATGATTGTGGGGGAAACAAGAACACCCAGAGGAAACCCATGCCAACTTAGGGAGAACATGCAAACTTCACACAGAAATGCTTACTGGCCCAGCCGGGACTCAAACCAGTGACCTTCTTGCTGTGACAGTGACTTGACGGTGACAGTGCTAACCACTAAGCCTCCGTGTCGCCCACAATTAAGTTTGTCTTCAAATTTAAATTAAGTAATTTGAACAAACAGCAAACGTAATTTTTTGAGTGAAGTTCTTATAAAACCTCAACTCCAGAAAACGTCAAACTATCACAAATTTTCAGTGAACAAAAGCTTGCTACATTGGAATTGTCTTTAAAATTTCAGTTGTTCACTGCCAGGGGGCGATCTGTGGATCTTCCATTTTCCAATGTTAAATTTTGATACCATATGGTAGAAAGACTGGTGTTATTACTTTACACTTGAGCATTGACTTGTTACCAAAACACTGAGGCTGTGTCCCAAATTGCCAATTACTCAAATAGATACTACATTTGAATTTGAGTTTACTACATGGCTGATCGAAAAGTATGTTCTATATAGTATGAATGAGAGTAGTGTGTATTGAATTTGAACCTACTACATCCACCATCTACCATAAAATCGCATACTGTTTTTTTGAATACTATGAATTCAAATATGTTACTTTGCTTGCATAGTGTTTTAAACATACTATATAGTAGGGAAGTGTGCTATTTCAGACGCAGCCCTTTTTTTTTGACATGCATATATTTGTATTCATTCATCCCTCTGTCTCCTACTACAGGCTTGGATGAGAGCCAGGCAGCAGTGAGCGGCCTCATCCTCCATCAGCGCAGCCATGCCACCTCCGGCAGACATCGTGAAGGTGGCCATCGAGTGGCCTGGGGCCTTCCCCAAACTTATGGAGATTGACCAGGTCAGTCCTTAAAGTGACTTCATTTCCCTTAATGAATCTGTATAGGGTTGCACAATCATTTAAACTTTCAGTATTTGTTTTTTCAGTAACATACAGTTAAAGTCAAAATTACTAGTCCTCCAGTGAATTTGTTTTGTTCTTTTTTATTTAAAGATTTACCAAATCATATTTAACAGAACAAGGCTTTTTTCCCCACAGTATTTCCAATTAATTTTTTTCTTCTGGAGAAAGTCTTATTTGTTTTATTTTGACTAGAATAAAAGCAGGTTTAAAACATTTTAGAGTCAATATTATGTTATACAATGACTTAAATTAACCTAATTAACCTAGTCAAGCCTTTAAATGTCACTTTAAGCCGAATACTAGTATTCTGAAATATATCTAGTAAAATATCATGGCAAAGATAAAAGAAATCAATTATTAGAAATTATTTATTAAAACTATTGTTTAGAAATGTGTTGGAAAAAAATTCTTATTTCTGTTAAACAGAACTTGGGTTAAAAATATACTGGAGCACTAGTAATTATGACTTCAACTGAGATCAAATTATTAAAAAATGATAAAAATTTCACTTAATGTTGTTTAAATTGAGCATTTTATCCACAATTTTAGACATTTTTCAAAATTACCCATTATGATCTGCGCTTATGTGTAAGGATGATGCTAAGAACTTCCGGTTACATAAAGAGTCGCATTCGGACAGCTTTAAAATGATAGTTTTAATCTATTTTACTTGCTTTTAACGTTTTTGAACTAATGCTGCTGTCAAACAGCGCCACCTCCTGGACTGACTATTTAAAAAATGCAAAGTAATAGGAATGAAAAACAACATTTGCGAGTCATTTATAGCCTCACCATCAGATGGCATCTTGTGTCATTTAAATGGAGCCTCGTCATTGCACAAGTAACAATTTCCCCTTTTTTCAAATATAACCAACGCAAACAAATGTAAATTCAGCAAAATGTTTGACACGCACACATGTACTGTCCCACTAACACACTGATTAAAACATTGGCACAAAGTAAAAGTAAAGTGGCAATTTTTGAAATGTTAGAAAATCACATGGTAAAAAAAAGTGAAACAAAAACGGCTTCCGATTACAATCAACATGCTAATCAGCCAGCATAGTGTCCAGTAACCTGCTTTTATTTGTTGGAAATTGCATGGCTTAATGTTAAGTTTTATACCAGTAATATGGTTTTTACTATAATGCAGTGATCCATTGTGTGCGTGTGCATTGATGAGCTGTTAAATATAGTACAACAGCTGACAGGTTGGGAACACTGACGCTGTATTTCAGCATCTGATCTGACGGCAGACTCTGAATTACGAGAACATTTTGCTCTTGTGCTTGAACCGCATCTGACAGAAGAACAACTTTAACACACGTCTTTCAAAATCAAAGTTGTGTCACAACAACACTCCTTAATCTACTCAAAACGGTATTGTCAACTGTTTTTGGATCAAGATTTACCAGTTGTAAATGTTGTTAACGTAAGTTCTAAGCATCCTACCAAAAGACGCTTGTCAATTTGGCGCCCTCCTAAACACGGGCCAGTATAAGATTCTGACAGTATGATAACCTTGGATATACATATCACAGTTTCATGGTATCACGGTATTGTACGATTACTGCTCTAAAATATATTCTTTTTCCCTTTTTTACACAATATAATTTGATTTGGTAAACATTTAAAATATTTTAGAGCTGCAGTTCAAATGAATTATTGACTTCTGCTGTCTTCATTTGTTTCAAAAACACTGATTTCTTTACAATTTAAAACGACATATTTAGAGATCTTTTCTGCTGCAGATACTCCTGCCCTAAAAAACTGTAAATAAAAAAATCTTACTCATACCTTAGGAACGATATTTAGAGGAATTTTAAAACCTTGAATTTACTAAACCGTGGTATACCCTGAACATGGTTACCGTCCCATGCCTACGCCCTCCATGCAGCAACGAAGAAAAAGGTCTATAACATGATCACTAATTAATTTTGTGACTATTGCGGATGCTCAACTTTTAGTATTGATGTAACATGATATGCTGCTCATATCTAATCGAAAAGTATCTATCGATAATGCATTATTTCTTTTTTATTCCCCCAAAAATATTTATTTTGTCAATATTTACAATATGTTCATGTTGTTCTATGCTTCTTTCTATAAATTAACATTTCCTGTTGATGGCTTTAATATTCCAAAAAAGACAGCACCAAAAAGGGGCACCCAGTCTTTTTAAATAATTATTTCTTCACAGAAAAATGAGTTTGAAACAACACTATGAAAAAAATATTGACTTGGGCTGAACTGTTCATTTAACATCTGAGAGAAAAGGCCCTGCAGTGCATGTCTGACTGATAGAGAACTTGTGTCATTAAAAAAAACTTTAGACTAACCTTGGATAAATCATCCTGAAGTTCTTCATTCATCATCCTTGTAACTCTTTTCCGTTTCCTTGACTTTACTCGATTAAGTGTTTGCTCAAAAAGGAATGGAGCATTATAATTTAGCATGAAAAATGTTATTAGCAGAAAAGAAATAAGGTGGAATGTCAGTGTCATTGATAGAAAAATAAATAAATTAAACTAAAAACTGTCTGGTTGTTTTGCTTTTTTGTTTGCTTGCAGAAAAAGCCTCTCTCTGCAATTATTAAAGAAGTCTGTGAGGGGTGAGTATCAAATAATGTTTTTTTTTATGTATTCATATCTGCAGACTTATCGCTATGTTCCTTGCTTGCACTTGCCCTGGCGTACACAGAACATACAAGCGACTGAATGAGATTCAAGGCCCCAGTATAAACACAATGAAGTTCTTTTTCAGTCATTGATTAGAAGGTAAAAAAAAGGTGTAAATACCTTTTACATGCAAGTATGTGCTGCGCTCAGGGTTGCCAGGTCCAATAATTTTCCAGCCCAAAATTTGACAACTCAAAACCAGCCTAAAAAGAATAAAAGGTATTTAATTTGTTTCGCTTCCCCAATCCAAATTACTGGATTCCTACGAAGTGAAATGTTTGGACATTTTCTCTTAGAATTTGTTATGCACATACTTGTCAATATACACTCACTGGCCACTTTATTAGGTACTCCTGTCCAACTGCTCGTTAATGCAAATTTCTAATCAGCCAATCACATGGCAGCTACTCAATGCATCCAGGCATGTAGACATGGTCAAGACGATCTGCTGCAGTTCAAATGGAGCATCAGAAAGGAGAATAAAGATTTAAGTGACTTTGAATGTGGCATGGTTGTTGGTGCCAGACGGGCTCGTCTGAGTACTTCAGAAACTACTGGTTTCTTGAACTTGACAATAGCTATGTTTCCATCCAAAAATGCGAATAAACTTTATGCGCAAAACTGGATTATCACATAAAAGTTGTGCGAATGAAGCAGCGTTTCTATCCAACGAGTCAAAGCGAACAAAATCGTCACTTCCTGATTAACTGGCGCCAAATATCAACAGTAAAAACTGTATTTGCTGCTGTAGGAAAAGTTGCATCAATCTTTTCTAAATGAATGCGCCTCAGAAGACAATCCTGACAAGCAGTGAGCGCGCATTGGTGTTTGAAGGTGTCAGACGCGGAGCACAGGCGCTCTTGATTCTGGAGGTCATTAATAATATAATAACATTAATACTGAAATGGTAAGGCGTTTTATAATGACCAAAACAACATTTCAGATGTTTTATAATGTGCTCAGCCTGACGTTTTATCCATTCACACACATTTTAAGCATCACATGATCTCTTTTAACAAAATCACATGAACTTTTTTTAATGTGCATGCTGGAGTTTGTGCGGTAAAAGTGTTTCCATCGCAGTTTATGTGCATCTTTTCTTATAGAATAAAAAGTTTATCCTACCCAGTTAGGCGCATAAGTTTTTTATGCGCATTTTCAAAAATTATGCGCATTGCGTTTCCATCAACTGTTTTTTTTTAATGCGCATTTGCAAAATGCACATAAAATAGGTGGATGGAAACATAGCTACTGAGTTCACTATACTCAAATGGCCTCCACAGTCACCAGATTTCAATCCTATAGAGCACCTTTTGGATGTGGTGGAACAGGAGATTCGCATCATGGATGTGCAGAACTGCAATCTGCTGCAACTGTGTTATGCTATCATGTCAATATGGACCAAAATCTCTGAGGAATTTTCCATTACCTTGTTGAATCTATGCTATGAAGGATTAAGGCAGTTGTGTGTCCAATCCGGTAGTAGTAAGGTGTACTTAATAAAGTGGTCGGTGAGTGTACAGTAAACATTGTAAAGTACTGATTGACATTCTGCACAACAAACAACAGTTACTGATGTTTTGCTCATCAGACAGTTATACTTGCTCAGTTTTAGCAGTCTGTGGGTTGCCATTTATGCGTTTTAGGATCAATGTCCTTTAAGAATGTGAATTTTATCTTATAAAAGCAGCCCAAGAAAAAGCAACCCACAAGTAATTTTTTTTTCCACATTTCCCTATTCAAAATGACTAAATTGTGGATCTAAAAACATTGACTGCGCTCTACTAGAAATCACCTAAACTCACACTAGAAAGCAACATCGGCGAGAAAATAGCAGTTAAGAAAGCAGCTATATCAAGTACAAAAAAAGTTGTGGATTCTTTTACCTTGTTGAACACTTGAGATGCTTGTTGTTAGCCATGATGGTACCGAATATACCAGCAGCAGATGTACACTTCATTGAACATGTACACATAAGCTGCGTCCCAAATGGCACACTATACTGCTGGATGAGTGTGTACAGTAAGTGTATATGTATGTAGTGTCGTCCCAAATGGAACACAAATGTTATTTTTACTAAATGGATATTCAAACCGTTTCCCTAATGATGTTGGACGGCTGCCAAATTGGTGAAATAAATGACCAAACTACCAAATAAAACCATGAGTATAGCCACATTCACCATCAGGAGGCGCTATAATCACTCTCGTTGGAGAATTTTTGCTTTCGCAATCCCAAATAATGTAATCCAACATCATTACCCGAAAGCTCCACCCCTTCCGCTACGTGAGCTAAGCAGTGGTCATTGAGTGGGTAAAGTGTTTATTGAATAAGTGAGTCATCCAGGTAATTCAAGTGCACCTATTTTTTGAGTTTTCAGTGTGAATGCACTACTTGCACTATTTATACCACAAAATGGTGTAGAATAGTGCATAAGTATGCAATTTGGGATGCACCTCTTTACTTCACCTGTATACTACAGTATATAACTGCAGGTCAACTATGTTATATAATAACTTAAGCTGTTAGTACTTAGTTACTAGTTAATTAGATTATTGTTGTAGATTATTATTATTATTATTATTATTATTATTAGATTATTTTTAGTTATCAGAAAATAATGAACTTACGATAACTAATAACATTAACTTTTCTGATTTTGATTGTAATGCAGTAATGTGCAGCTTTTGTAAAGCTACTTTGAAACAATAATTATTGTGAAATGCTTTATACAAATAAATAAATGAATAATAAATATTGAATTGAATTGAATGTGTACTTTTAGAAGGGTGTTGGAGTTTTTCACCATTAACATGAGGACATAAGCATATCAGTTTGTAAGTTAGCTAACAAAAAGACAAATCTAGATATTTCCTTGCTTTTCTTGTTTTCTGCAAATAGATTTTTAAAGTCATTTTTTTTTGTATTTACACTCCATCCAAAGATTGATATTTATTGATCTACACTGTAAAAATTCCACACAATTCTTCATATTGTCCCAACTCAAATCGATTTAGTTAACCAAACTGTTTTACAAATTGGATTGTAAAACTTTTACAAAAGTGGATTGAGCATAAAATAATTAAGTTGTCCAAAACAACAACTCAATTGTGTTGATTCAGCTCATTTTAAGAAGTAGTTATGAAAAAGCAGCAAAAATTATTTTTGTGTGTAAATATCAGTTAGTGGTTTCCAAATATGAAGGATTATCGGTTACCGGTTTTGGTCAAAATATCGGTAGTAGCCATTTTATAAAAATCTGTCTGTAAGCTTTCATAGACAACCAATAAAGTCTATTTCATGCTTTCTTACAAACTTCTCTCACTAAAAAGAGATTTAAAAAGCTGCCATCATATCACAGTTTGTCAAAATGGGAAAACCAAAAAAAAAAAAACACACAAAAAAAAAATTCCAAGAGAAGTTTCCCAATGCCTCATACATACATACACACACACACAAATATATATATATATATACATATACATATACATATACATATATATATATATATATATATATATATATATATATATATATATATATATATATATATATATATATATATATTTCCAGTTTTAGAGTTTGCAGGTATGTGTATTATGCTGATATTGTTTTTGTTCGACAGTTAGAAACATCACCATATGGCAGTCTCTTATGTCCCTGTCTAAATCCTCATTCATTAGGTGGAACCTGCCCAATCCTGAAACCTATGCTCTGCAGAATGCTGACGCAACCAACTTTTACATCACCGAAAAGGTTGGAAATGTCAAAAAAAAGCTGTATTGCCAAGCTCAGTAAAACGCCGCATACAAAAACATAACAATACCTCTTCTCTCTCTCTATCTCTCTCTCTTTTTTTAAACACAGAATCGCAATAACATCAAAAACGGCTCCATTCTTCGGCTTACGACGTCTGCTGTGAGTAGCACATTTGCCTTTTGTATATGTATTTCTGGCTTCTCTAAAGGCTTTATCAGCAGAAGGGACCTGCTATTATCCTCGGAAGCCCTGCCCTGTCCAGCTGGGGCCCTGTAATCCTTCAGATGTGAGGGGTGATAGGTTACGTTACCACAGCATCCTAAAGTGTCAGCAGCTGAGAAATATTCTTGCGTGACTTATTACGTAAATGTGCCCAGTTGTCATTGTGTGTGTGTGTGTGTGTGTGTGTGTGTGTGTGTGTGTGTGTTTCCGCTTACAGAAAAATGCCAGGATTGACTCTTTGTAATATAAAAGATATAGTCATTTTGGAAAAGCATTATATAAGAATGGATATTTCATTCAGAAACAGCTTTTTTTTTTTTTTTTTTAAATAACCCATCTGAATTTTGCGGCTCGGGGATGATGATATTTAAAGCTGATGTCTGTGACATTTGAAACCGTCCCCTCCAGCATAATGACAACAATGACTGTTTCTCTTCCTGAGATGTTCTGCACCAGCCGCCACTGATATTTAACAGTCATCAGCACTCTGCGTGCTTTCAATAGATTTCACAGAAGGAAGCGATTCTGTTGTGTTCCTTCCATGACCGAGCATATATTTATAATACCTTGACATCATTCAGTAAAGATTTTTTGTTCTTATTTGGATTGTCAAAGCATTAACTAGTTTCAAAGGTGGATGGAAATGGGATTACTTTCTCAAGGTAGCATTTTTACTTTTACTTCACACTTGAAGGGATAGTTTACTCAAAGTGAACGTTTTGTGGTCATTCACACTTGTTCCAAACCAGTTTGAGTTTGTTTATTTATTTATTTATTTTTGTAGTTGAGCACAAAAGCAGACCTTTAAGCATGATATATTAAAGAATGTTAGAAACCTGTAACTCTGAATGTTAGAAACCCTGTGACGCTGACTTCCAAAGAATTTGTTTTTCCTGCTATGGATGTCGATGGTTACAGGTTTGCAACATTCTTCCATTTTTGGATAAACACTCTCGTTACAAAAAGTTAATTAAATAAAAAAGTATGAACGTCAAAGCATAAGATGCATAAATATCTCAAATAACTCTTGCTAAGAAGAAGAAAATGCTTTGGCTTTTATCACAATTTGTCTGAGCCATTTTGGCCATTGTGGTTCCAAATATGTACAAATCTCAGTTATACTATTTTCATATAAATATAATGAGTTAGAATAAAAAAATATGTTGTATTAAATTTTGTTATAGTCTACTAAAAAATATTTAAATTAATAAACTAAACCATCATTTTTAATAAATAGCTACTGAAAGTAAAAACAAAATACAAAATCAAACAAAGAGTGCTTCAGGGGTAATTTAATATGTTGGTGCTCATTAGGTAAGGGATGCATAAAGATAAACAGCAAAATTATAAGACCTGTCTATAAGAAACTCTGCAAGTACATGTCAACTTACACTAACCCCAACCCTAACAGTCTACTTATAATCTAATGAGACTTAGTTGGTATGTAAGTGCAATGTAACTTAAATTCAACAAACAAACCATTGAAATAAAGTGTGACCAAAACCTTTATTATGGCTATTGCATAAAAACTGCACATGTAGGTATAATTCTGCTGTTTAAATCCTTCAAAATGTTTAATTTGAGTCATTTTATGAACATTGTAAAAGGTAAAGGATGCTATTAACAGGATAGTTCACCCAAAACTGAAAATTCTGTCATCATTTACTCACCCTTCCCTAGTTTCTTTCTTCTGTTGAACACAAAAGAAGATATTTTGAAAAATGACGAAAACCTGTAACCATTGACTTCCATGTTATTTGTTTTTCCTTCTATGGATGTCTGTTGTTACAGGCTTTCAGCTTGCTTCAAAATTTCTTCTTTTAGATTCAGCAGAAAACAGAAACTCATAAAGGTTTGGAACTAATTGAGGACTAGTAAATTTTCATTTTTGGGCGAACTATCCCTTTAAGGAATAAAAATGAAGAAAATAGGGGGAAAAAATAGTAAAACACCACAATAAAATTATACATGGTATGTTGTTTATTAAATATGGGGACCAGACCTGTCAAGTGTCTAAATACATTTTTGGAACCACTGCATAAAGTAAATAAATAAATAATTAAATAATTAAATAAATAAATAAATAAATAAAAACTTAACTAAAATAAAATAAACATCAGTTGATGAATATAATATAATATAATATAATATAATATAATATAATATAATATAATATAATATAATATAATATAATACAATATAATATAAGATAATATAATACAATATAATATTATATATTATATTTTAATATAATTTAATATAATATAATATAATATAATATAATATAATATAATATAATATAATATAATACAATATAATACAATACAATACAATACAATATAATATAATACAATATAATAAAATATAATATATAATATAATATAATAAAATAAAATAAAATAAATTATAATATAATATAATATATTTTAATACAATACAATACAATACAATACAATACAATACAATACAATACAATACAATATAAGATAATATAATACAATACAATACAATACAATACAATATAAGATAATATATACGTGAATGGAGTATGTAAAAAAAAGATGATGCGTGTAATGTAAACTTATAATCTCTAATGAGCAACTCATGGCAGATTCAGTAATTTAGCGAAGTGCAGTCTCGCCTTCGTCTTTGAGTCATGTGACTAAAAGGCCTGACCTCCTACATGAGGATCTGTCACCCTCTCATTAAAAACGCCTCTTCTGTGGCCCTCGATAACAGGCCCAGATGGCCCAGCAGCTGCACGAGCGCATCCAGTCGTCCAGCATGGACATGAAGCTGGACGCTCTGAAGGATCTGGCCAACTCTTCACGAGACATCACCTTCGCTCAGGAGTTCATCAACCTCGACGGCATCTCGCTGCTCACACAGATGGTGGAGAGCGGCACAGAGTAAGTGTCTGTTTTTCTTTCTCTGGCTGCATTTCCTACTGTCCCTGTGTTTTCATTAAGAGTGCTCTTGATGTTCACTCCTCTCAGCAGGGCTTTAGCATAATAAAATGCTAAAGCAATAAAAATAAAATGTAGACATGGCCACTGACTTGCACTGTAAGATTCACTAGGAGACAAATCACACAAAAAATGAATTTGTAGATGGATGTAATTTACTGGTAAAAGATTTGCAGTCATTGTTTTTTAAATCTATATCCTTGTAGGTTATTTTTAAGCAATACTTTTAAGATGTGATGGATTAAATTGAACCGAATTTAAATTTAAAAATGTATAATGCTGCATAATAAATAAAAACATATCCTAGAAAGGTTCAAATTTGTGTCTAAAAGGGTCCCAGGGTTTCATCGGGGTCTTAAAAATTCTTGAAATCCCAAAATCTAAATTTTAGGCCTTAAAAAGTCTTAAATGTACTAAAGTATATTGTGTTGTAGGTCTTAAATATTTTTTAAAGGTCTTAATTTCCCTATGTTCGAGTATAGCTACCCAAACTGGCCAAAACCCATACAATCACCAACAATCCATTTCAATAAAACTTTAAACTTTTTATTTAAAAATTTTAATTCTATTTTTCATAATGGGTCAATTATTTTCCTTGTAATAACATTTGTTTAAAAGTGCTCCATATATTTACTGCTGAGGTCACCGACCTGGACAGATTGTTGTACATAGATTTAGTTTATTGTAGTTTTTTTAACATTTAAAGCTTTTAAAACATAAAAAAAAAGTTTATGTTGGAAAAAAGTGTATGGATTCAAGTAGAGCTTGCTTGTTTTTACACAATGTTTAAAATATTTTGCTAAGAAATACTTAAAATATTTTTATTTTTTATTCTTAAATTATTATTGTTTTACTAAATGTATTAAATTTTAATATATATATTTTTGATATGTCAAATAAAAAATCTCTTCTATCTGGGCTGTTTGAAAATTCCTCAGCATTTAGCCCTTTTATGAGTCTAAAATTTCATTCATTTCATTTTCATTTATAGTCTTAAAAAGTTAAGTTTAACTTGGTAAAACCTGCAGAAACCCTGGGTCAATACATGGTACCTTAGAGAGATAGTTCACACCAAAAATATACTCTTTATTCCCTATATATATATATATATATATATATATATATATATATATATATATATATATATATATATATATATCATCACTTTTAAGATATGATGCCTTAAATTGATCAAAAGTGATATTAAAAGCATGTATAATGTTACAAAAATAAAAACTATCGTTCCATGCAAATGTTTCCACCACCATCAAATACATAACACGCTTTAATCACATCACATCAAGTGTGCCTTAATGCACAACAAAATGTCCTCAAACAAAAAAAAAAACATTTAGTTGTGCTTGGATTTGGTTGTGATCAAAATAAAGTATATTGTGATGGAGATCACTTTTGAGTGTCTGGGTCTCTTTGGGTGACACTTTTTGTGTTTGTTAATATTTAGTTGTGTTTGAAGTTGGTTTATTTTGATCAAAATTATGTATGCTAATTGAGGAAATTTTCGAGTGCTTTGTCTGAGTGAAATTTTATGTCCCTTTTGGTGACTTTTTTGATGTGTTTGGGGACTGTTTCTTCTGTTTTGATAAAATTTAGTTGTGTTTGGAGTTTGAGTGTTGTGATCAAAATAATGTATTGTAATAGAAGAGATTTTTGAGTGTTTTGTTTGAGTAACATTTGATGTCCCTTTTGGTAAAACTTTGTTTGATGTTGAGTTTGGTGACCGTTTGTTCTGTTTTGATAACATCTATATAAGTTTGCAGTTGGTTTGTTGTGATCAAAATAGTGTATTTTATTAGAGGACACTTTCAAGTGTTTTTTGTTTTGACCAACTTTGTCCCTTTTGGTGACACTTTTTTGTTGTTGTACTTGTAATGCTGTATTGTAATGGAGGACACTTAGTGTGTTGTTTTTTTCATGATGTTTTATGTCCCTTTTGATAACATTTATTTATTTTTGCTTTGTTTGGCGCTGTTTGTTATGTTTCGATAACAGTAGTTGTGTAAGCAGGATGTTACGATCAAAATAATTTATTCTAATAGAAGACTTTCAAGTGTTTTGTTTGAGTAACATTTGATGTCCCTTTTGGTGACGCTTTTTTTGTCTTTGGTGACACTGTGCTATATTTTCATAACATTTGGTTGTTTTTAAACTTGGTGTGTTGTGATCAAAATGATGTCTCGTAATGGAGGACACTTTCAAGTGTTTTGTTTGAGAAACATTTTATGTCCCCTTTGGTCACACTTTTGTTTTTGATGAGTTTGGTAACTGTTTGTTGTGTTATGATAACATTTAGTTAAGTTTGCAGTTGGTTTGTTTTGATCAAAATTATGTGTTGTAATAGAGGACACTTTAAATTGTTTTTTGTTTGACTAACATGTTATGTCCCTTTTGTTGACAATTTTTGTTGTTGTTGTGTTCTATTTAGTTGTGTTTGGAGTTGGTTTGTTCAAAAATAATGCTGTAATGTATTGGAGGACACTTAGTGTTTTGTTTTATTTGTGATATTTAATGTCCCTTTTGGAGACTTTTTTAAATGTGTTTGGCGATTACTTGAGTTTCGATAATATTTGGAGTAGTTGTGCAAGCAGGAAGTTTGTTTTGATCAAAATAATGTACTCTAATAGAGGACACTTACGAGTGTTTTGTTTGAGTAACGTTTGATGTCCCTTTTGGTGACACTGTTGGTTGTCCTTTTTGGTGATTTATGTTTTGCTGTGTTTGGTAACATTTAGTTGCATTTGGAGTGTGTTTTGATCATAAACTGTATTGTAAAAGAAGACTCTTTTGAGTGTTTTGTTTGAATAACATTTGATGTCCCTTTTTGGTGACCATTTTTGTCTTTGGTGATACTTTGTTGTATTTTGATAACATTTAGTTGTGTTTGGAGTTGGTTTGTTTTGATCAAACTAATGTATTATAATAGAGGATGCTTCAGAGTGTTTTGTTTGAATACCCTTTTTACGTCACTTTTTGGTGAGACTTTTCTGTTGTTGTGTTTGGTTACTGTTCTGCTAACATTTAGTTGTGTTTTAAGTTGGTTTGTTGTGATTAAAAATAATGATGGACACTTAGGGCTCTATTTTGACAATCCATGCGCAAAGTCCAAAGCGCAGGGTGCAAAAGCATTAAGGGCGTGTCAGAATCCACTTGCTATTTTAAGGACGAAAAAATCCACTTTACGCCGTGGCGCATGGTCTTACAGGGTTGAGCTTATTCTCTTAATGAGTTGTAGGTGTGTTTTGAGAATAAACCAGTCAGAGTCTTATTTCACATTCCCTTTAAGAGTCAGTTGTGTTGCGCCATAGCACATTTGCTATTTACATGGCGGACTTTGTTAGTGGAAAAACTAAAAGCTTCAATAGCGAGAAAACAGTTAAACGGAGCATCTGCAGCGCGAGAATGAGAGTTGAGCCTCCTCATTCTTTACTATTACTTTCACTCTTGTGGATAGGGAAACCTGTTGTACCCACAGACATCCATAAGCCTATACATAATTAATTTTGTGTTAAGCACAAATATTTGTTTCAAAACTATTTCTAAATTCAGTTCTAATTTCCAGCAAATGAATAAATGAACAAGAATAACGAAGTGTGGTTAAAAAATTGGAGTTATATCCAAATACGCATGCTGTGCCCCAAATGGTCTAATACCTGACAGGTGGGCAAATCTAAGCTTGTTTTTAAAAAATAAACATAAATATGCATATAATAAATAATAATACTACTACTAAGCACATTATACAAAAGCAAATTGTTATGAATAAACTAAAAAAGCCCCCTGAGTTGAAGGCATGAAAGTATGGTTTTTATATTTATGTAGGCTCTGCACTGGACTTTAGACCAGCTTTGATCTGGTCTATTGAACAGTTTAATATTCATTCATTCATTTTCTTGTCGGCTTAGTCCCTTTATTAATCCGGGGTCGCCACACCGGAATGAACCGCCAACTTATCCAGCAAGTTTTTTTTTACGCAGCGGATACCCTTCCAGCCGCAACCTATCTCTGGGAAACAGTCTAATATAGTTCCTCAAAATAGCAATGCGCCTTAACACATCTCCTGTATTAGACCAGAATGCCTATGGGCGCACATATGAGCACAAATGGGTTTGCTATTTAAACAGCGTGGTGCAAAACGTCAAAACGACTCTTGTGCCATGCTGAAACTAGCAAACAACAATTGCGTCGCACCTTGCACCGCATTGCGCTGGGTGTATGATAGTGCCCCTAGTGTTTTGTTTGAGGGATATTGTATATCTCTTTTGCTGACATTTATTTATTTGTTGTGTTTGATAACATTTAGTTTTGTTTTGATCAAAATATTGTATTCTAATAGAGGATGCTTACGAGTGTTTTGTTTGAGTAACATTTTATGTCCCTTTTAGTGAGACATTTTCGTTTTTGGTTACACTTTCTTATATATTGATAACCTTTGGTTGTGTTTGGAGTTGGTGTGTTGTGGTCAAAATAATGTCTTGTAATAGAGGACACATTTGATGGTTTTGTTGGTCACCGAAAGGAACAGAAAATGTTACTCACTTTTTGTTGTTTTTTGTTTGGTTACTGTTTGTTTTGCTAACTTTTAGTTTAGTTTGGAGTTGATGCTGGATTGTAACAGAGGACACTTTCGAGTGTTTTGTTTGAGTAACATTTGATGTCCTATTTGGTGACACTTTTTGTTGTTGTATTTGTTGTTTTTCTAACATTTAGTTGTGTTTGGAATCAGTGTGTTGTGTTGTTTGAGTCCGCAATCCCAAACCAATGCACAAACTATCACATCAGAGATGCACCATCCAAATAAACTGCAGATATTTCAGACGTGCCTCTATTAATAATAAATGAAGTGTATACATTTCACTCCCTTCTCCAATCTCTGGGATATAAAGCAGCCATGTGGCCTGATCATCTCAGTTGAAGGTTAAAGCGGA